GCTCTGCCTTCCCAGGCCACTTTATTGATTACAGAATTTCTGTTTGAAATCACGCACGAGAGAAATACAAACAAACAAATGCTCTCAATTAACAGCCTCTTCTACTCCTGATCAATCCAAGACAGAACGTGTCCCTTCGGGGAAATCTATCCAGTCTTAAATCCCACGTTCAGGTCCAGTATGGAACATGACTGGAAACGACGGGTTTGCAGTTTCACAAGCTGTTCAAGCTGATGTAAGCGCTGGTTGATGCCCAAAAGTCCAGTCCCACCCTCCACCCCCAGTTACACGTTCCAGTGTAGTGTTTTGTGTTGCCTCTAGCAGTTGTGTAACTTCTTGTTGTGCACTAGTGCAATGAATGAAACTATACCCGCGTCCTAAATTTTTAAAGAGCCCTTACAAGAGTTACTAAGAATGTCAAAACGGAGTTGTGCACTGAAAAAGGGGCAAAGGGAATACCTGTCCCGGGTGGTTCAGTTGTCTCAAACAGTTACATACTGAAAAGACAAAGGATGAAGAAAAAGCAGATGGGAACAAAGAGAGCTGGAAGGCTGTTAACGTGGAGGTAGCTGTAAATTTAGGTAACAATCTGACAGTGAAAGCAGCGAGTCACTAAGGACATTCAAATTAAAGGCTCAAGCAACAATGTCTTAAAAATCTCTTTACTCTAATCAGTGAAAATGATAAGAAGCCTAATTGGTTGTTTTGTTCTGTACAGGACTAAGAGTTGCAATGTAGCCATTAGATCAGCTAATGGGAGAAGGGCATCCGCAACTTCGTCACAGACATTTGAAGATTAACAAAAAAAGTGATGCATTCCTGAAGGATAGCTCTGGCTGGCAAAGAACAAATTACTGAATCCTAGCTGCAGTTAGTTCAAATCGTACATATTTGCAACCTATCAGGTTTGCTTTTCTCTTGGACGTTTGTAGAACTGCTTCCTGCTCATTTGCACAACATAGAGAAACCCTTTATTTTTTCTAATAGACGGGGTGTTTGTGCAAGAATGAATGCACTTCTGCTCGAAGGCTCTACCTTCACATACATATATAGTCACTTCCTGGTAATGTAACAAGGGAAAATTCACTGTGAAGTGGGTTTAAATAAATAAATAATAAAATTGAAAAAAGTAAAACCTTTAACTTACAAATCTCCCTTGGTCAGAAGAAATACATGCTAAAAAAAAAAAAAAGTATACCCCACGCATAAAAACAGAAAAATTCCTTTAAGTCAAGAAGTCATTTTCTTCCATGTTTGGTGAAGCCTTGCTCTTTGTCCTATCACGACATGATCTGCTGTATAAATTGTGATCCATTCAATAAAACTGTGCTCCACAGACAGGGCTGTGTACTGCGACAGCAGGACAATCTTCTCCACAAACAATTTACAACTCCTGTCTGGGAGTTACACGATGCTCTACGTAGTCACCAATCCATCGTTCTGGGGAAAGGTCTGGCACTAATGAAACAAGACATTTCCTGTCAAACATGAAAATGCATCTATCATTTAAACTTTCTGGGAGAGGATTAAGGAGCAGGGAGGGATTATCCACCCCAAGTGAAGCAATAAAAACTTGACACTGGCACTGGCCTTACACTACGCTGGGGGAGGGGAAGCCTTTGAAATCAGTGCCAGTGCTCCTGAAATTACTTCCCATTAGCTGCGATTTTGTTCGTATTCTCTTCCTCCTGTGACTGTAGGTGCTTCTCCTAGACATGAGGTAACTCTACAGACATTATCTGTACACAGACTGTATTTTACACGTGGATTTTCCATTAAAAGGACTTCCAGAGAAGAGCGCTATCACAGGATGCGAGGTAACTCACACATACAAGTCAAGTTGCTTTCCCTCAGATTCCTAGGCCTGAGAGAGGCAGCTGGAAGGCACGAATGCTCAAGCTGTGTAAAAAGAAATTTTCTTTCAATTTCCTAAATTTCTTCCAAAATGTCCTTTGATTCTACTTCCTTTTTCTCAACATCTCTCTCTATCCATCGCCTGATTTGAGCTCTTCTCCCTCCAGCTACTCATTTTGCAGTTCTGGATTCCCTTCCCAACTTAAGTCGTTCTGACAGTCCCACAGTTCCTTAATATTTTTGACCTTCCTAATACAAATCTTCTTTTCTCCCAGATCCCTTGGACACACTTTTAACGCGTTTGCTTAAACGTCTCATGTTGTGCTAATCTGAATAATCAGTAGTAGAAGAAGGGATGGCATTATAATTGAAGTATATACGTATTCTACAATTCTATAGGGAAGGACAGAACAGTCCATGAAAAAAGAACACTTGAACAGTGCAGTGAAAGCAGGTATCTTGTTCATACCGTCAGCTTCCACAATTAGAGGAAACAGAACAAGAACATAACCTTATACACAACCTAATACAGAAAGGAATATCACACAGGAAGAACATAAGACTCAAATCGGAGAGATGCTGTACGATGGATCACGTCTCAGTGAAGGACATGGTGACAGTTGATCTCAGAAACACAGCAACCTGGCAAGATGGTCTTTTGTTAATTTATTTTATTAGTTACAGTGACAGGGTCAACTGATTGGTTGCAGAAGCATTTGCCTGTAATAAATGCTGTAAAGGCTGCACGGCTTTATCAGTTCTTACAGGTATTACTATCACAATGTTCTTCACCTATGTTGTCTTTTTAAGTATTCATCAACCACACTTCTTTACTGAACTGTACCACACCTGTAGGTATTAAATCTGGAAATGGGCTTTTTCTGTACACTCAGAGCAATGGTCCTTAAACTTGAAGCACAGGTTAAAAACTCTTCCCCCCCACCTTTGTACAACACTAGAATTTGCATCTCTTGATAGTTGGTGTTTCAGGAAATGAAAAGCTCTGACGCGTACATTTCAAAGAAATGACAAAAACTGTCAACTCAGAGGAAAAAGGAATCTCTGCAAATCAGATGCATGCTTATGTGAAGAGATATGTTTATGTAGCAATAACAGAGTTAGCATAGCTTATGAAATTACTGCCTGTCAACTGAGATACAGCTGTTGAAACCCACCTCTAAGCTAACTAGCTTTATGCTGCAGTCAGCACTAGCAGAAAGCCTACAGATGGTCTGTTACCATATCTCAGCTGACAAGCAGTAACTTCTTAAAATACACCAACTTCATTTTCTGCATTTGCGCAAACACATTCTGAGAGCTACTGAAACATATTTTACAGGTGCTATATTTCTAGTTGTCGCTTTGTGAAGGGCTCTGGCTTATAAATTAAGATGCAAGAGTATTACAACCCTGATTTTCCATTAAGCTAAAACATGGCACGCTACTTCTGCAGCTGTTGGGATCTGTTGTGTCAGTAGACTGACTGTGCGTGGATGCAGACAAACCCCTTTTCAAGTGGTTTGATCATCAACATGTCTTTGTACTGGGAAAGCAAAACAGGATTACTCTGATCAGACTGGAGGGACAAGAAGGCCGTGACAACTGCAAAATAGTTCCCTCACTTCTTGGTATCCTTAATCACCAGTGATGCTTTTCACAGCTAGTCACAACTTCAACCAGCCTAATGAAAAGCAGGGAGCTTGCGGAGAGTAATGCAACATACACCCTACATGGCGATACAGTACGCTCACAGTGAACCAGCTCTGTGCGAAGTGCCTGCGCCCCATACACAGACTACAAGGCAGTTCTGCTTTATTTTGCTGATTCCCTCAAAAGTCAAACATGACATAGCCTGATCATATGAAGCCATTTCACTAATTTTTGACAGCACAACAAATACAGCTTTACAGCTTCTAAATCAGAACAAAAATCTTGCAAAGACAAAACACTCTTCAAAACTGGCCTAAGAAGAGTCAGGTTTGTTCCAGAAATACCACTGTGTTAACTCTACAAATAAACTTAATTTCACATCAGGTATCATGTGTCCATGCTACTCTAATTTTACATCAAATGAGACGTTATCTGAACTCCCACATCTGCTATAAAGCCAAGAAAAACTATCCCATGTGCTCTGGCTAATCAGACCGAAATGCAATCGTATAACTAACACTCAATCCAGATGGGATTTGCACTGCTCAGTGATCTGGCAGCACACACATCTAGTATTAATGAGAGCAGAACCACACCTGGGTCTGGCACAGAAAGGTCTGTCAGGGAAAATCTGAGGTGCTTTGAGAAGACTTCCCAGGCCAAAACCTACATATGTCAGGTCACCTCTGAGTTTGCTCCAGAGCAAACTCAAAATTCCATCTAGTCGCACAGAGACCGGCGCATGAAAATCCCTCTTATGTGAAATGAACTGCAACAGCGAGACACCACAGTGCGAAGAGGTAGAAAGTCAGCTCCCCCACCTTTGAGTAGCTTCTGGCTTTTTTGCTTTTGCAAATAAAGACCTTGTTTTTCATTTCCTAAAGAGCAAATCCACGCTGGAGAATAAGCCAACAATAAGGAAAAAGCCATTTCCACTCAAAAGGTTTTGTGCCTGATTCTCAGGTGCGTTAAGGATCTTCTGAAAATTCAGTCTAAATCTCTGCTATAATCTTTACAGAGACCAGTAGCATTAACACTTGCTAATAAACGTAGATGTGAAAGCACAGATTAATTGGGTGGCTCGTCCAAGTCAACTGCAGAGTCTTATCAACCGGTTTTCTCTGAATCCTCTTTGTTCTGCCTGACCTAATTTTTAGATAGTGGAAGGAAAGCGATGATTTGGATAACAGTGTCAGCTATCTCAGAGGCAGTGCAACTTAAGCTTCTACTAACATCAGGCCAGCTGTTGATCGAGATCAAAGGGTTACGGCTCTTCCTACCTTGCATAGGTACAGCGACAGCTTTCCTATGAAGACCCCCCCGTCTGCTCTAGCTCAAGTTCAGAGAGAAAGTGGAAGTCCTCTTACTCCAATGTAGAGACACTCTGTTTATATTCACAAGTAAGCACAGGCAGGCACAGCAGTTCTCTGAACAGTATTACTGAGTTTACCTGCCTTTATTCAAGTTGCACTATCAAGTCTGATGCTTTTGCCTACCTGAAATCCATGTTTGCCTCTCCACCATGTGGTCAGCTCCTTTGGAGGCATATCAATAACAGACACAATGTCTCCCACCTGAAAAAGATTTGCAACATCAGTCACAAAAACTTGCTATGTGGCTAGGAGGAAAGCACAATTCAAATGAATGCATTCTTCCATGCTGCATGAAATTACAAAGCTCGTGAGCAACTGCATCAACGTGAATCTTGAGGCATCTGCCTTTGCAGAATGAAACTGCGAGGCCGAAGACTTACTGCATTACACAACCTACAGGATATAACTGTTATATCTATTCATAGGGAAATGATTCTCAAAAGCAGCAGGCTGTCTGCCAAAGGGTACGGAAGTGTTCTGATTAAACTGCAGAGAGAAGTAAGCAGTGATAGCTGGAAGATATTTTCAAGTAGCTGAAGTAGTTTCTACTTTGTGCCATATATATCTATATGTATGCATCTACATATGTCTGCTTGTTTCCTTTCATGGCAAAAAGTTAAGAGCAAAAAGTTCACAAGCTGACAACGACATATTTTTCTTTATTAAAAAATGAAGAGTGGAGAGGCCGCGTGATGTTACAGCAGCAGGAAGGAAAAAGACCAGTATTAAGGGAGACAAAGCAGGTTTTCTGAACCTCTACTCGTTCTCATCAAAATATAACGCTGAAATAGTTCAAAAGGACATCAGCATATTCAATACTAAAATTGGTTTGATGGGAATCAAGATCTGTGTGGACTGTATAAAGGAAAACGAGATAAGCCATAGCAGAATGGATAGATCCTAACCTAATACTGCAGCTAGGTATGGTGAAAATTAACAGTAACGCCTAACTTTTACCTGATTTTTTGCACTAATGGCTCTCAAAGAGCTTTACAGAGAAGATAACACGTCCCCATCTTTCAGATAGGGATAACTGAGACACAGGTATGTGAAATGCTTTGCTCAAGGGAACAGCAAACCAATAGTGGGGCAAATTTTCATCCAGGAAACCATGCTGTCACCACACTGAGCAGAGAAACCAGAATTTTTCCCGAGTACTGAGAAGCAAATGCCACGGTCAGCTACTTTCACAATTGCTTACGAGAAAGTAACAATAGCTTAAATATGAAAAGACAGTGTGGGTTAGGGAATAGAACACAATATTGTGAAACAACTGATGGTATTCCACTTCTACTCTGCCAAGGTTTTCTCAGTATACAAACTTGGAAAGCACCATGTGCCTTGCTTTCCCCACTTGCATGCTCTGCCTAATAACAACCTGCCTGACTACCTGACTGTTGCAAGGCCAAGTTGGCCTGCTGGTGCAGAGTGGTGAGATTTACAAACGGGAAGTGCCTTCTTAGTGCTTTTATTAATATTGAGATACTGACTAACAGCCTGTATCCCGTACTGTGCGCATTTTAACTTGGAAGACGACATGTCCACATGTCTTTCTGATTAGCTCCATTCGTTGGTGTACACTACTAATTGCCTCAACTCTGAATAAGGACAAAACCCTGGCAGCATTAGCCTACCACTGTGATTTTTACTTCCTTCTCTGCGTGCTAAGACTAGGATCACAAAAACTCCTTCGGGCACGGACTGTTTTCCTTTATACTTTTTTGTATAATACTATCAATACTCCATTTATGCTAACATCGCACATTAGCAAACAATCAGAGCATAACACGTTGCTTTCTGGGAAGGACAGACGAGAGCGCCAGATATTCAAGTGATTCCAGGGCCTGATCTTCAATGACTTTGCTTCACAGCAGCTCCTGTTCTGTATCAAGTAAGATTTTCAGAACAGTTTTGAATCATCACCTACCCTTTAAGCACTACGTTCTTTGATAATCTGGTTTTTTTCTCCTTCTGTGAGCAGAAGTGCTCAAAAACGGTTTTAGACATGCGCTTGCTTACAGGAAAACAGGTTGTGTAAAACTGGCCAATGAATAATTACATGGGCATGCGTCCACATACACACATACGTAGAATGTCTTCCTGAACAGATTTAACATACTTTTAATACACCGTACAACATTAGCTGTACAGATGTCCCTGCTGCTGCTCAGGGACCAGGCTAGAATACTTGGCAGTATCAGTATAATCAGAAGATACTAATGCCAGTTAAAGCTATATTTTAAAGATGACTGAACTCCTCTGTCCAACCCAGCAACAGTGTATTTAACTGAATCGTCTAAGCTTCATCACACAAAGCATTCTGAAAGCGTATGAATATATTTCTGGCGCACACGCACACACCACACTCTTCTATATATGACAACAAGGACTGTTTAATTATTTACCTCAAAGGACAGTTCATCTGCTGCCTGAGCAATATATCTCTTAATAACGTGGGCAGCAGCGATAGCAGGAACGTTAATGGAGGATTCCTCATGGACTAGCAGGTGATTCCCCTTGTTATCAATCTGAAACAAAGAGCATAGGAGATTGTGAGGCAGCTGAGGACAAGTGGCTCTGAGGATGCATTTTATTGGTGCTCATACATGGCAGAGATTTCAAACTGATTCACAGAGACAGCACAGCTTGGGGGCCCCCTGAAGAGAACAGCAAGGAGAGACATTGTACGGCACAGCATATATAGAAATGAAGAGGAAGGACAGCTCATAAATCGTTTTTCTGAAGGTCATATGTCTCCATCCACCTAACTGATAGGAAAAACGCTGTATTTGTGCATCTCTGTGTACAAACAGTAACATGACAGTGAATGTTTACATCTCCCTTTAACACTGAATTGCATCATTTTACTTGAAGTACGACAATATAAAATTGGCTATTAAAAAACCTCTCTGCAAAGAGGAATTAGTGGTCAAGGAAAGTCACTGAGGTAACAAGGAGATGATGCCAAACTGAAAATGAGCATCACTTTCACCCTTCTCCCACCTTTTTATTTGTTTTCTTTTTTTAAGAAAACACGGTTCCTATCCCTTGCTGCAGTCATCAGCCTGCTTTCAAAACTCCTAGATATTTGTGCTCACGTGAAATTTTGGTAAGATACTCAGTTAATCTAAAAATGTTAGTCTGGAGAATTCAAATCGCATTGCAGCAATCTCATTGGTGTGTGCAATTGCTTTGCTGTAATCTCTACTTCCAGTGTGTTGCTGTAAAGTCTGCAGTTTCATTTGCCTCTATAACTTCCTTTCTACCTTTTTGCTGAGAAGGTTTCCAAGATTTGCCTCACCCCAAAGGATTTTAGGGTGGGGAGCACATCCGCGGAGAAAATGGCAGGAAAATGCACTCAATCCGTACCACTAACATTTAAAGAAGCTTTGCAACAGTCTAATAAGAGTTCTTTCTATTCCTGGTGTAATGCAGCAATGTCTTCAGGCATTGGCAAGGCACATACATTCATACCCAGATTAACCAGTAACTGCACTGCTGACAAAGACGACAGGTGGCCTTCATCACTTAAACAACAGACCTTATTGGGCAAAGAGTACAGGAAGAATGAGGCTAAGTGATGAAGATGGTACAAGACCGTTAATAGAGTAACCAACGCGACAGCTGCAATGCACAATATACAAATAGTACCATTGCAAGCACAACACAGGCTCTGTTAACCAGTTTAACTAACAGCAATGGCAAACAGGAGCAGATAATATTTATTGTTTCTATGCAGCTATTACAAGGAAAAATAAAAAACAGGGCAGACAAACACCATAAGGGACTCGGCTCCAATGCTTTTAGAAACTTGCCACGCTTACAATATTCCCCTGCCAAAAAGGAGCACAGTAATGCAGGCATTTCCTCATTTTCCTCAGCCATGGACTAGATTCGTCCATGTGTCTATCAAGCCAATCACTGCTTCGCTAGAATTGCCACCTTCTCTTCCTTCGTGAACGTCAGAAGAACAGCGTGTTTTTGGTGACAAAATCCAAGCAAGAGGGGAAAAAAGCTCCTATATTCTGAACACGGCGTCTGATTCTGTTTGCTCTGTACCTTTTGTGGCTACCTACACACCTGCAACAGGGAAACAAAGCTTTTAGGGTGGGATTTTCAGTGACAACAATAGATCTGGAAGGATTATACCTCTCTCTGCAGAGGAGCACGCGTTCACCTTGCTCTGCTGGCAAGGGTCAGGAAATACAGAACAATCGGAGCTTCAAACTGTACCTCCATCCATGTGAGGGCTGGCCCACAGTTTATCTTGTTGCCTGCGATGGCTGAGAGACGTGACAGGTAAGCCATCAGCATCTGGGTGACAAGCTGGAACAGAAAAGAAAGTACACTGACAACATGTCATAGTTTGGAGACTCTTCTTCAAAACTACCACAGATTGTCCATCGGTATAGTTATAGAAATATATTCCCTTTTGCAAGGATATCTGTCTTTTGGAAAAGGAGGGCGAACTGCACACAGTGTTGCAATAATTAGGCAAAAAGCTGTGTAAAGAAGCAGATCCCTGTGAAGGTAATAATGTCACTCTTACAAGATATGCAGATTTTTAGTAATTTTACTTCTCAAGGGACCTTAAATTTAAAGCCCTCCTCTCATCACGAACTTCCCATACAAACAAATCATTTATATTACGACCATCAAACACATCTGAGAACCATTTACTGAAATAAAACACAGGCTGCCATTTTCATCCGCCCGCAAACACTTAAGAATGTGGCAAGTCAAACCGGCCCCTTGGCAAAAGAGTAATTTTTCAAACAACAGAAGAGGGTTTTAAAAATACACTTAGCAATGTCCCTTCTACAATAGTAAATCTGCTTTAACATAAAGCAACCTACTGAGGTCTTTCCAAAGCTTCACTGACAATATTACAAAGCAGTATTGCAGCTCAGAGTCCGTAGGACTGTTTGAAACCCTGCTCTTCTCAAACATCTGTTCAAATTTGGTCAATTCAAAACAAAAAATATAGCATGTGAGACACCACATAGCTGCCAAATTATATTCCATAGAGCAGCAGAGATGTTTAAGAGCTCTACAACTTCTGTGCTTACAGATATAATACAAATAGTCAGCCTTATGCTATAAAATACATACTAAATGTATTTGATCAGCTTTGAAAATGCAGATTTAAGAGGCAGTAATGCCTAAAATAAAATGTAAAAAAATGAACTGAGGAACTAATTATCCTGAATATTGTCTCTTCTGTCAAATTTAAATGACTAACAACTTTAAATTCTCCTCAGAAATAACCCACACTGAACACAAAACAACTAACAAATCAGACTCTCTGATGAGCTATGGGACGGCATTATCGACTGTCTGTATCCAATGGCAAAAGCTCTCTGACTTCAGTGGGGCACTGATTTCAACCTCCGTGTGTTGTTCGAAAGGAATCAATCCTCACTCAGTCGGCACTGAGCACAGATCCTGATTTATAGATCCTGGATGGATTCTACTTTGAATGCTTGGAAGGGCCTCAATTTTCTCATCTCCCCTTTTCAGCTACACATCTTGTGGGCAAGCAACGTTAGCCTTTCATCACAGCACGTCAAGATTTTTCTGTGTTTGCGCTTGATAGTAGGGGGCAAACACGCAACTACAGGGCCTAGAGATAAGTGACCTGTGAAATGAAGTGTCCGTCACTGTGATACATGCTCTTCCCACAGACAGACTGAGGTCTAACAGAGGCTGTTCTGTTTATGCTCTGCTGGCTCAAATAACCTTCTGCAGCCACACATTACATTGTTTCCCTCTCCCTGTCTTCTAAAATGATGCAGTGAAGATGCACCTGCTACTTCCCTGAAGATCATTTTGGACATGAACAAGACCTCCAAATCATCAACAGTGGAGAAGCTCAAAGATTTCTAACTCACCACATTCCAGGTGAAGATGGTTTGACAAGAAATGAAAAGTACCTCTTGCTCCTTGAGGAAAAACACTCCTTAATCTTTATAAAGACCTTTTAAAGATTACACTAATGCAAATGCTCTCAAAAACAAACAAACTTCAGTAACTTTCGGTTTATAAATACAAATCTAATATTTCAAATGGTAAATAGTGCTGCAGTACTTGTACATATTGATTTCCTGGTAACGTTAAGTTGCTAAAAATAAGTCAGTAAATATCCACATCATCAGAAAAGCTTCTGACGACATAACAAAACGCTCATCTAAGGTACTGACAGCAGAGCTCCTTCTTGATACTCTCCATAACCATTACAAATTCAGTAACACATTAATTGATATGACCTGGCAGGCATTTCTGTTTAAACCACCGAAATTAAGAGCAAAAAACACTTACTGATCTTATTACTTCTGATCAGTTTCCAAATTTAACCCCGGACACATTAAAACTACTTTGTACATCCTTGGAAAATATCTTCCATCTACTTGCTGGTGACTCTGTGCTTTAATTGTTTATTGAGCTAATAATTTACCTCCGGACTGTCCTTCAGGGCATCGGAGCGGGGTAGCTCTGACAGCTGGGAGAAGCGTCGGTCATAAATACATAGGTGAAGATGTTTATCAAGTACTCGGAAATCTTCATAACTCCGCTTCACAATCCAGCTCCTTCCCTGCATAAACAGAAAATAGCATCACATTTTCATAAACTTTTCACCAGTTCTGGTTAGCTGAGGAAAATGACAATTCTTGCAGAAGTAACAGACAGATCGGGTGATCTTTCTTTGCAAAACATGCAAGAGTGATGAAAGCGCCTCAATAATATTTCCAAGTTTTAATCTGTAGACAGCTATTCATGTTCAACCCAGCTGAGATTGCTCCTGCTTCAGTTACGTAACACTAGGTCTAGCTGTGGCTCAGCAGTTAAAAGAGGAGATCTATCCAAAACTTTCAAGTTCTACCTCTCTTACAAGGGTTTTGTAGTATTTTCATTCACAAGGTGTCTATGCACAAATGTGAATTATAAAATGGTTGTATAAACAGCTTGAAGTTAGTTTCTACATAGACAGAAAAATACACAAACAAGGCAGGATTTGAAGGAAGGATGGGAGCTTGCAGTATTTTTATCAGACACTCCAGGCAAATCTTCACCCTATGATGAGTAACACTAGCTGAAAATTTACTCCTGAGTGCATATCACTTGCCTAATTAAAAATATTGACAAGATACATACTGCTTCAGGGGACAAGGAAGAGACCATGGCAGCACAGCATAATTTACATTTTGAAGCCTTTAATATCTAATGACTACTTCAAAATGCTTCATGGCCTATTACGATCAATAACAGCTGTTTTAACAATGCAGCAGTTTACAGGTCAAAGCGCTTGATGAACATTATTAATCTTCTCAACACTCCCATGTCGTCCCTAAGATGATACTTGCAACGTTCAACAGAAGCGGGAACTGGATCAGTGACCATGGACCTCCACAAAGCTTCCCCACCCTCTATTTCAAGTGCAAAGTGCTGCTTCAAACTTTCTTTCCTAAGAACAGCAGCACAGCCATACTTAAGAAAAAAAAAAAATCGCTGTCAGCAGTACACGCTCTGCTTCACACTCCACATACAGTTCTGTCCCTAGGGAAATGATGAGAAAAACAACAAAGCACGCGACAGGCGTCAGTCATGTCGAACAACGGCAGGTGCTCCTACAGCACAGCCACGCAAGGCCTGAGGCTCGGCAGACGAAGGCACTGAATTGCTCCAGGTTACACAGCAACTCGAAGGTGGGGCCGAGGATTAGAGCCGAAGAAGTGACGTGCGGCGGCCAGCGCAGAAAACAGCGAAACGCAGGGTGTAAGAGGCGACACAGCATAATTTCAGTTTTCACTGGAAAAAATGAACAACTGTAAAATGTGTTCATGGATCTACTGTACCAGCTGTCAGCACTACAGCTGGGGGACTTTACACCTGATGCCCTCTTCACCCGGGCTACAAAAGGACGGCCTGCTCTGACTTCCCAGTCACCTTCTGCTATATTCTGCTGTACTTTATTTACCAGGAAGGCTGTAAATATCACTTTTATATTAATATCTAAAGCTTATATGGCAATTGTAAATGTAAATCCTATAGTCTACTAGGTATTTAGCTACTTAGCTACAAGCTTGTACTAGCTATTTTCTGACAAATGAATTTAAGACAACTCCAGGCTGTGTACTGTGCCCATAAACTGCTCTCACATCACAAGAAATCACCTATGTTTCACAAGCCTAAAGAGAGAGGATTACCTTCATTTAGGATACAAATGCTTTGCAATATCCATCAGTTATGTCATTGTATTTTTGGTCTGCAGGAGGGAAAAAAAAGAGCAAAAGAACAGTGCCAATCTATTTATCTTCTAAAAGAGAAATGCCTTTCCTGCTTCTTTATCTTTTGCAATTAAGTGGCTCTTGCTGTCCTGTTAAGTTGCCACTGTGACCTTCAGCTGAGCAAGATTTAGTCACCGGTGTAAGAAACAACAGATCGAGAAATCACTGCACTCCTTTATTTGCTTCTGCCCACTGCATTCAACAGGACGCTTCAATACAATCTCATATGCTACCCGAGCAAAGAACAAATCTATCTGTCAAATCATCATAACCCTGCCATTAATGACAATTCTTCCACGATATCTTGATCTTACATGCTGGATAGTTGTGGATTTGTGGTGTCTTTCTATCATAAATTAAGACAGTAAGGGATAAATTTACAAGACAGGAATAGCTGGGGTCAACAAACTCCTGTTCTGTGTGGCAGGGTGTGTAGGATGAGCTGTGGAAAGAGTAGATTATTTAGATAGCGTTTTACTTGCTTTTGATGAAATCGTTCCTACACCATCACAGTAACTAGGCTACTGAGAGTTGCTAAGGAACTTGATTAAGGAGCGGGGCCAGCTTACCTCGCAACAGCAGTGGCGGTTCTCGCCCCTCCTCCTCCCAGAGGTTCTCCCTGCACTGCACACCGACTCGTGCAGCGAGCGCTGGAGCTGGCAGTTGAAGCCTCGTAACCCAGAGCCACCACTTGTTTTCCTTGGAACTGCAGCAGTTCTGCAGCTGCTAAGCAACCAGCTGAGCCGGCCGGGCAGAAGCGGCAGCACCCTCCACAGCAGGGCTGCCGTGCACGCCTGGAGGCCAGAACCACTCTTGGCCATTCGCAAGTTAAGTCAGCCCCGCGCCCGAAACCACTGCCCTGAGCTTCAGGCTCTCGTACAAACGGATCACAAGACTCTTGTACAAACGGGACTGCCCATTCTTTACTCTCATTCAGAGTAACGGTCCATTTCACGCGTAAATACCAAAGACGGTTTCAGGAGCAATAATACGCAGTTCTAGCAACACTCTAAATGCAAATATCTCCTCTTACTCTATCGTTTCTGGTCTGGAACAAATAATAAAAAGGAATGCTTTTGGTTGTTTTAAGTGTTATGTAAAGTTTTTGCAGAACTGGAGCCTGAGTGATAAATTTTTAAGCAAAAAGTAAGACAGCCACATTTACAAGGGATGCACTTAACTTGATGAGAAGGAATCACTGCAGCAGTCTAGGAAGGAACTGGACGATATTTAGTGCCTCCACTCAAATCTCCAGTACAAATCACAACAAAGTAAACTCTAACTTCTTTCTGCTACTCTTCTAGAGTTGCATAGCAAAAGCAGCATAAACAACAGTGGTCTCATGCAATATCAAAAATATTACACTGTTTCACTATAGCGATATAAAAATTGTACATCTTATTCCCATTTCCTGTAGAATTCTAAAGTGCCAGAAGGGTTTTGCGAAAGCTTTTAAGTTTTTTTTTTTTTTCTGGAGAGTTAATAAAATAGTAGAAACAAGAAAGTTACAACTAAGTCAACCTCATTTTGTCAAGTTCATGTTTGCAACTATGTGTTTTATAGCAAAGCATTATGACTGCCTCATGCACGTAATATCCATAAAAGAAAAACACCTTCTTCTCATTGTTAACAATTTCCACAAATTGTAGCTCAATATCAATTTCTGATCAGCCTCTAGTTTTCACATTGCCAGCTTTCTTTCTCATATTTCTTTGCTTTAATAACTGATGCTCCTGATATAGACGAGCACCTGCTAAAGTCCCACTAATTTCAATGGTACATAAAGACACAGGTGAAGTTGAGCACATGGTCAAACGATTTCCTGAACTCAGACCTTCAATTACAAACTTGAGAATGACAAATTTCATATAGATAAAAAATTCAAGTCCCAAATGAAGATTCCAATAATGTCACAATACAGAGTTAAACTGTCTTTAAAAAAAAATTGATCACTGATTAAAGAAAAAAAACAGCAAAACCTCTTAAACAAAAGCCAAAATATTTTTTGGAATTTCATTAGTGAAACTAATTCTGAACATCTAATTCTGAACAACTAATTCTGAGCACTTCTGAACACAGAAGCGTTCAGAATGACAAGCATCATGGCAGTTATGGAATTTCTCAAAAAACAGAAAATCTGGATTTGTTCCCACTCTTATTACAATCTCATCTTTAGCCAGCTGCGTGGGACTGAACATATCATGAAAGACTGGTGAGATTTCAGCACATTGCACAGAGCTTCTTATTTCTTTCCCATTATCAGAGCAAGAAGAAATGTCATGCTAAAAAAATGATTAGCACTTACTGAACTGATGATTTAATTTGCACTGAGCCAGAGATTTGAACTTTCCATTAGTAAAACCATTATATCGTGATCACAGATCATAAAAAGCTACCCGGGCTGCGCATCACAGGAGACAGACTCAGAACCACAGCTCCACAGCCAGTATTTTTAGCTCTGCTGCTCAAACGGCCTAGGGAGGATGACACGCAGGCACAGCCAGGAGAAGTTTGCTTACTCCCTTAAAGCCAGCTCACTCAGGGATACTTCAGCGGAGCAGCAGTTTCTCTGCCCGTTCCCTCTCTTCCCAAGCCCTGAATACACAGCACGAGAGTCGCAGTCTAGCGATGGCTTGTTTCATTACTAACAGAACGACGTTACTTATTGCAGCACCGTTTGGTTATGGTTGGACTGGGAAAAGCAAATTGAAGAGGAAGGCTTTTTTAAACACCCGCTCCATTTTCATTCCCATAGTTAAAAAAAGCACCTCTGCTCCATCATTTCTTAAACCACTCAAGTGACCACTACAAAAACCTTACTCATTTCCAAGAGGGGCTCCCATAAGCTCAAGGTCAATTACATACAGGAATATTTTTGTGAGGACTTAATTGTTTTCACTTGGGATGTGGCAAGAAGCAGTGCTTCCCCCACTGTGAACAGTCACTGGCTTACACAGAGGCATCCAGCTAACACAAGAGAAGCGAATAGGTTCGTCTGTAATCAGTAATTGCAGTATGATTAATTAAGAAAGCAGATAGGCGGCTCAAGTTGTATTAAAAAGATTTACAAATCTCCTCTCCCCACTACGCGAGAAAAAGTAAAATGCTATGTTTCCAGCTAAATCTGTCAGAATCTGCCCAGACAGGACTCCTTTTTCGTCCATCAACGCATCTTCGAGGCAGACAGGGTCCTATTGAGTTCCATCACGCACAACTTTCCTGTCCCACGGTCTGAGCGTGTTTTCTCTGTAGCATCTATGATTTATTTATTTTAAGACAGGGATAGACCTTTCGTTTCTGGTTCAAA